TATATATATATATATATATATATATATATACTTTCATATTTCTTTCAGTTGGCCAAATATCCCAAGGTTCTTCAATCAGGGGCTTTCTACATGTTTTTTGTTTTAATTTGTTGCATTATGGGTTCCGATGGAGCCTTTGCCTCTCGGTACACCGGCTTTCCTAACAGCGCATGCTGCAGCCTTGCTTTTTTGGAATTTCTAAAATATTTCCAGACTGCAGACATCAAATTTAAGGAAGTAAGTACTGTAATTGCCTCCTGCTCACCAGCTGCTGTCTGTAGTACCCTAATCAGAACCTACTGTACATCTCATGACACTCAGGAAACCCAACTCACAGTAGGCAGCTAGTTAGCAGAGCATCCGACAGAGACTCTGGAGACATTTCTGCACAAAATATTAAAGCACAGCTACAGCTAATGGATAGGAAGTGTCCAAAGGTTGTTTGTTAATTTTCCAACCTTTGAAATACATTGGCACCAGAGCCCAATATAGGATAATATTGGCCACATTTCTAACCTGCCGGCCTGTAATTAGTGACAGTGAGATGGAGCCTTGATGAAGCCTTGAAGGCATTGAACCGTTTTGGCTTTAAATGCCTGCCAAAGTTCGCGGGCGAGCTGAAACACTTCATGAAGCGGTCATGTGGTTTGGCGGGGTAGCTAGGCTTCAGACGTCATTGATTTTGGCCCATCCCCTAAACCGAGCAAGCTTCAATAAGCGCCTGGTGGACACGCCCCCCTCCATTACTCGACACACCTTTAAGCCTCAGCTCATCTCATAACATCACTACCTGTAAATATAAGAAAACAAATCTCAAAAAGAACAAAGTGTGTCTCGGTAAAATAACTTAAATAATAGAGGAGCTACAAATCTAGCCGGGGTAACAAAACCATTTCTAAGAACTCCAAATGACCATGTTGTCTTTTTCACAGCAATTCAGAGGAAGTATAATATTATCGGTCAAACTGGGGGGCAGTGGAGTGATGCTCTTGGTCTGTCTGACTGCTTTAGGTCATTAACGTCTTGCTGAAATTCAAGGAATTGTGAATTCTTTTCTTTACTAAGATGGCCAAAAAGAGAAGTTATGGCTATTTGTTTGGGATTTTAAATTAGCAAAAGACCCGAAGCACTAAAGTAACCAAACTTTAGAATATAAAAAAGTAAGTTGATTGATAAAAAGAACACAGGTGGGATTGGACTGATAAACGTCCAGTGTGTGACCTGTATCCACTCGTTATGCTTGATAACCCTTGAGTCAAACCAACAGAAAAGGCCAAAACTAAATGAGTAGTTTTTGCAAATATGCTATTGCAGCTATTTCCACCATAAATCAGGTAATAGTTTTAGAACACAGTTAATTTCTGATGTACAGCAAGGTCTTTATTGTTGCATCAAATTAAAAACACTCTATATTGAAATGTTGTGATGTGAAACCCTAAATCAGAATATTAATTGTTTTGGCCTTTGAGATCAGAAATAAAAACAATTAAAACTGTTTAAGTTATCAGTTAAATGTGGCAACTTGACCATAGGGGTGTTTGCATATTTAAAACCAAAATGTAAAGTTGAGAAATAACAAAGCAGGAGTGAGATATTCAGTATATTTTATGTTGGTTTTCCTGTTTTCACTTCTTAAAGCTTTGCAGCTTTTAGCGTTTACAGGTTGATACCAAATTTTAAAGGGCAATGCATTTTATTCTGAAATCTGAAATGCAAATGTACTGTGATCACACATTTATGTGACAAAAGAAAATGTTTAAAGGCTTTATCTGAGGAAGTAACCTTTAAGTTTCACCACTTTTCATTTCATAGGAAGATTTTTGAAACAGAATATTGGAGTTTATGTTAAGTTCAATCAGTCTATGCAAATGTCTCCATTGGGTTTGGTTTATTGCTGTTGTTGTGGACGTTTACATTTGGTAGATCTTTATTTTTAATCTTATTTCCATCTTTCCTTCTTCTATTTCATTTCCAAGTGTCTCTCCTCAGCTCTCACCTTCTAGTTCCCCTTTTACCTGCAGGATTAGTTAATCATGGCGTCCTGCTTTCCAGGCCAGTAATTAATCTAAACCTTTCTGCTGCTAATTTGCTTTCAGTCATTGTCAGTTCCACCTGTTACCTACTTCAGATTTCATCTCTCAGCTTCTCCTTCTACTTTCCTGCGTATCTTCTCTGCTTTTTAAAGTTTGTTTAATCAGTTAAATAAGTTCCCCAGAATCACATCTTTGTCTGCTTACTGTCTCTCATACAGCAGCACTGAGAAAATGTGTTAATTGATATTTAAGATGATTACATGAGAACAAAAACATGTTAACTATACAGCTGGTTGATAATCCTAGAGTTTCCTTTTTTATATTTTCCACTTTAGAGTTCACTGATAATTAACCTCTGACCTTTTTTCCTTGCAGTGGGCAGAATGTTCATATTCAGAGCGTTTGTTTGCTCAGGTGCATTTATATGGTTTTGATTTCAGACTAGGAAGAAAAACTAAACACTTTGCTCTAATCTGGGGTAACTGTAGTTTCATTAATAGAGTAACAAGGTGAGACATGAGTTTGTACCTGAATGTGTGTTTTATCAGAACCCATTACACCATCGAAATACTCACCATCATTTATAAACAGTTTATCTCAAAACGGAAGTTGAGATTGGAGAGTCATTTTCCAGCTGTCACAGCTCTACCTGAGGCCATATTTTATGGAACACTAAAGTTTTCCATTCTTCAACTTTCCTCTATTTCAATGTCACTGTGTGGCTTAAATACAGCCAGTGGGATGGACGGACACACGGACGGGACGGTGTAGGTACCAGTGTCACTACCCCACCCGTCCTGCACATGCACAACAGATATACATCCAGGTGTCCATAAATAATGTTATTATGGTATTAAAACTACTTATTTCTAACCTTAACTCACTAAAGAATGCTAATGCATATCTTTCAAAAATGTTTTATGACTTTTGTGAGACAATTTTTATGCTTTTTACATTTTCTTCATTAAACTGTTTCTCTGACATCATCATGGGACATTCTCAGAGCAGTCTGGCTAAATATGATTAAACCACGTTTATCTGCATTTTAGTTGCTTCATTCTTTAGATTACACACCATAAGGTTAAAACAAATGAAAACATAAAACTCAAAAAGACTAGATTTATGTTTAAATCCAAAGCTGAAAAAGTTAGCTCCTGCAAGTAGCGTAGGATGCTATTTCCGGTGCAGATCCTGCAGAGACGAGTGAAAAAAAGGATTTCAAGGCATTTCTTTTCTCAGGCAATATATTATTAACCTTTAAAACTTATATTTTAGAACGATTTCTGTTTTTGGGGAGGGAAAAATGTCATTTAGATATTTTTAACATAATAAAATGGAAGCAGATGTATATCTGGATGCTCATGTGCAAATGAGCTGGTAGCGCATGCGCAGAAAAGATCGAGCTTGCGGGACGGATCGGGTAGTGACAACCAGATCTGCTCGGGGTTACCGAAGCTGCATGATGTTATTTTCGTTGTCTGGGCAACCACA